CCTTCCTGGCTGAGAATCTTTATCTTCAGGCGTGTTTCCTGCGTTAGGTTCCTTGTTTTAGCCATTTTTGTGTCTGAAGAACTTTCAAATGTGCTGGCTTTATGTAGACACGAAGCTTGGCAACAAAAATTGTGTCTTTTAATAAAAAGAACGACCTTCATCACTGGTACCAAAATGACCCAATACTCAAAATTTCTTATGTATTTTTATGGAACCAATCAATTTCAAAGTTTCATCAAAGTTTTCAATGGCTTTTTTAGGATTTATTTAGTATTTTGGCTGTGACTGTACTAAAAGAAATTGCACTTGAAGACCTAAGAGTGATTCTTAATGCAATATTTCACAAATGCATGGGGTGTCCGAAAACTTTTTTCCACCACTGTATTTTGGTGGACGGATTCGGCATAGTTTAACCTTCTTTGAAATCCCAGCACCCGAAAACCTGTCAGCTGTCAGGGGGGCGTGGCCAATGACTTGCATTTTTTGCTTCTTTTATTTGTGTGTTTCGCATTTCTTGTTCAAATAACTTAGAAGTCAGAAAAGGCACACCCACATGCCCTGAGGAATTATAGTAAATATTAGGTCAGTCCAGTGAACGGTTTGAGAGATATGTGACGGAATGACACACACACACGCACACACACACACACAGACATCGTGCATTGTTAGATAGATGGCTGGTATTTGTCTTGGTCCAGAAACAACAGATGTCTTTGATGTCATTTTAATTTCCACTTTTCTTCTCTTTTCCCTTCTAGTGTCTGTGCAGGAAAGTTTAGAGAGGAAGTTTGGGAAGCAGGGAGGGCCCATTCCCATCGTACCCACCGCTGACTTCCAGGCCAGAGTTGCTGTGAGTAACATCAGATTAATGCTGGTCAAAACTGAATGAATGATTTTTTTTCTACTTTTATTGGGAGCTTATTTATATCGAGTCTGCATTGCTACGTACTTGGCTCGCACTCTAAAGTCTGACACTGACAAAAGCTCTCAGCATCGCCCACCTACTCAGCTTATATATGTTATCAAATTAGCTGTCATTAACATTCACCTTCCTTCGCAGGGTGCCTCTGAGAAGGACATTGTTCACTCTGGGTTGGCCTACACCATGGAGAGATCTGCCCGGGTAAGTGATCACAGACCATAACACAGTCCAGCCTGTTTTAGTGAGCAGTCAACATATTATCCAGTGTAATAAACTGAGATGAAACATTCACCTTGCACTTAAAATGAGTGTGCAAGTAGTACATTATGACTGTTTGGGCTGCAGGGCCCGAACGTATGTCGCATACCGAACTGTTTGGGACAAATACACTACTTTGTAGCATTAAAAAGGTCTGTCGAAATTTAGATTGGTGAACATTACAGAAACCCTTTCTCAGTTTCCCATAAGTCATAATTTGTCCTATTTGAAATTGTAAAGGTGGCTTCTAGAACATAAAAAGAACAATGAAGCAGGATTTACACTTGTGTGGCAGACCCTACGCCGTAGTCTATGCTGTTGTGAGCACTTGTGCGGTGGTGTGTCTGTGTCACTCTGCAGTTACACCTCCAAAACACTAGTCGGCAATGGAGGTTTCTGTGAAGTGCTGTAAAGTTTAGTTGATTCAAAACACACATTAAACACACATTAAACATGGCTTAATAGAGACAATGTCAAACACAAATCCACAAATCAGCTTCACTATAACTCGCAGCATTCACAGACAAACACTTGTTTTTATCTGGACACATTTTCCCCACAAATACAACATGCTAATGTTATTAGCACAAGCCTATGGCATTTCACATTGTATAAATTAGCCTAGCAGCTAGTGATCTTTTCCTCTATTCATATGAAACCAGGGACAACAGCAACATTTAACAAAGGTAACGTTACAAAATTCAGCTCCATTACAACTCACAAGGTTCACTGACAAAACAACTGTCTTATACTAAACACGTTCTCCAAACAAATACAACATGCTAACGTTTTTAGCACAAGCCTATGGCATGTAACATTGTATAAATTAGCCTAGCGACGAGCGGAGATTTCCTCTGCTCATATGAAGCCAGGATAAATCACACACAAGACTTAAAATGCTATTTTTGTGGAGGCTTTATTGTCTTCACAATTTATTGTTTCTTATCTGTGAAATTAAAGTAAATAAAAGCTTTGTTTCCACTGAGGGAAATGGTTTCAGCTTACAGTTACTAGTTATATTTCTGGGGAGGTGCTCAGGCTACAGTTTAGGCTCTACGTCGACACAGAGCCTACGCCGTAGGTACGGCATTGATTCAACGCCTAAGTATAAATTCCTCCTTACAGTGTTAAGCGTCAGCAAGCACAAGTCTGCAACTCCTGCTCTAGTCTAGTTGGTTGCTAATGGTACTGAAGCAGCTCTGTCCTTCAAGGCTTTCTATCAGAGATGTTTGAATTGCTGTCAGCCATGATTGTATAATATGTTCTCTTCTGCCTTTTCTAGCAAATCATGCGCACAGCAAGCAAGTACAACCTGGGTCTGGACCTTCGGACGGCCGCTTATGTCAATGCCATCGAGAAGGTCTTCAAAGTCTACAACGAAGCGGGGCTGACCTTCACATAAATGGCCAAGCATGACCTGCACTTCCTCCTCCCCTCCACCCTTCTGCTATTGATCACCCTCTCCTGCGTTCTTCCACCTTCTCAGCAGCCTTCAGAACATATCACTGTTTGCCGCTGCTCTGTGGCTCTTGACACACACACACACACTCACACTCACACAGTGAGACATTGGCTTGCCTGGTATTTATCCTGTAATCTTTGTGCTGCCATTATACTGTATCTGCATCTCTGTATAAATGTTGCCCCTTGATGGCCACTTAATCCCTTTTCATTAAAGTAAATTTGAGATTTAACTTCATTTGAATAAAAAGAGAACAGTAATTTTATTACTCTTGCGTTTGTCCTCACTTATTAACAAAAGGTTAGTAAGTTGCCAACGCTTAGAGTTCCCGACAAGGATTTCTGTTTTCATAGTTGGTGTTTTTACTGTTGAAAATAGATGTTTTTCAAAAAATGAAGTGAGACTTGGCTCGAACATAAGGGTGGGGAAGTTTGGGGAACTCCAGCCCAGGCTGCTACAGCCTGATACACCTGTATGAACCATACCCAAGGTGGTTCGAAAAAAGATTACACAGTTAAGACATGACTCAGCAGAATGAGAGAACCCTGCCACCAGTATGTTCGGGCTCAAGTAGGAAGGGCTAAAAGAAAAAGGTGGAGAATCACCAGAGTCTTCACCAGCATAAGGGAGAGCACAGAGAGTGAAACTTCAGTCTTGTTCTGGAGCTTGACTCATGAGTTGTATGTGTTGTTGCTTGTGAACACATTAAACTCGGTTGCACCTGATTCCACATGTCTCCAGTGATTTTCTCAGCACCAGCCTTCTGATTCTGATACTTATTTGAGTAGAAGGCGAGCCCAGCCAAAGAAGTTGAAGACAAGGTCTGGAGCCAACTGGCCCGGCTTCAGGCACTGATTTTTGCTTCATCAATGGGCTACTATACTATGACATTTTGAGTGGTCTACTATACTATGTTGTTTTTATGACATTTCCAGTGGCATACTAAACTGCCACGTCCTCGCTGGCAGGTCTAGGGCATGAGGGGAGTAACACAGTGAAGCAGAGGGAACTTTAAAAAAGAAAAAGGTAAGCAAAACAAATAGCCGGTTTAAAGGAAGTTTGTTTAAAACAAAGCTGGGAGAAAAGACCACCAACGAAAAACGAGGTCAAGAAGGGAACCGGATCATCTGTAGAAAGGAAACACACAAAAGAGAAAAGACTGATTACAGCCAACCAAATATCACCGCGCTAACCCTAACTTTTCCTTGTTACCCACGTCTTGAAGACACAACTGTCACAGCCCTCTGGCCCACTGGCACTGCTCCTCCCTCATTCATTCATACTCCTCGCTGAGGAGGAAGGATGTGGATCAGCTGCACGCTGAAACACACAGGCAAGTAACATATACTGTGACATTTTAATGACATTTTGACACAGACTATACTATGACGTTTTTTCATGATTCTGGATAACATACTATACTATGACGTTTTTTTCATAATTTTGAACGACATACTATACTATGAAGTTTTTTCATAATTTTGGACAGCATGCTATACTATGACGTTTTCTTCATAATTTTGAACGACATGCTCTACTATGACGTTTTTTTTTTATAAATTTGGACGACATGCTATACTATGACGTTTTTTTTTTAATGAATTTGGACGACATACTATACTATGAAGTTTTTTCATAATTTTGGACAGCATGCTATACTATGACGTTTTTTTCATGATTTTCAACGACATACTATACTATGACGTTTTCTTCATAATTCTGAACGACATATTCTACTATGACGCTTTTTTTTAATAAATTTGGATGACATACTATACTATGACGTTTTTTCCATAATTTTGAACGACATCCTATACTATGACGTTTTGTCATGATTTTGGACGACATGCTATACTATGGCGGTTTTTTTTTATAAATTTGGACGACATGCTATACTATGACTTTTTTTTTAATGAATTTGGACGACATACTATACTATGAAGTTTTTTCATAATTTTGGATGACCTGCTATACTATGACGTTTTTTTCATGATTTTCAACGACATACTATACTATGACGTTTTCTTCATAATTTTGAACGACATGCTATACTATGAGTTTTTTTTTTAATGAATTTGGACGACATACTATACTATGAAGTTTTTTCATGATTTTGGACAGCATGCTATACTATGACGTTTTTTTCATAATTTTCAACGACATATTATATTATGACGTTTTCTTCATAATTTTGAACGACATACTATACTATGACTTTTTTTTTATAAATTTGGACGACATGCTATACTATGAAGTTTTTTCATAATTTTGGACAGCATGCTATACTATGACGTTTTTTTCATGATTTTCAACAACATACTATACGATGACGTTTCCTTCACAATTTTGAACGACATACTCTACTATGACGCTTTTTTTTTTATAAATTTGGACGACATACTATACTATGACGTTTTTTCCATAATTTTGAACGACATCCTATACTATGATGTTTTGTCATGATTTTGGACGACATGCTACACTATAACGTTTTTTTCATAATTTTGGACGACATACTATACTATGACTTTTTTTAATGAATTTGGACGACATACTATACTATGATGTTTCCTTCATAATTTTGAACGACATACTCTACTATGACGCTTTTTTTTATAAATTTGGACGACATACTATACTATGACGTTTTTTCCATAATTTTGAACGACATCCTATACTATGACGTTTTTTCATGATTTTGGACGACATGCTATACTATGACGTTTTTTTCATAATTTTGAACGACATACTATACTATGACTTTTTTTTAATGAATTTGGACGACATACTATACTATGACGTTTTTTCATGATTTTGGACAGCATACTATACTATGACGTTTTTGTCATAATTTTGGACGACATAATATACTATGACTTTTTTAAATAAATTTGGACGACATACTATACTATGACGTTTTTTCATGATTTTGGACGACATGCTATACTACAGTGGTGGAAAAAAGTTTTCGGACACCCCATGCATTTGTGAAATATTGCATTAAGAATCACTCTTAGGTCTTCAAGTGCAATTTCTTTTAGTACAGTCACAGCCAAAATACTAAATAAATCCTAAAAAAGCCATTAAAAACTTAAAATTGATTGGTTCCATAAAAATACATAAGAAATTTTGAGTATTGGGTCATTTTGGTACCAGTGATGAAGGTCGTTCTTTTTATTAAAAGACACAATTTTTGTTGCCAAGCTTCGTGTCTACATAAAGCCAGCACATTTGAAAGTTCTTCAGACACAAAAATGGCTAAAACAAGGAACC